TTTATACGTTCATTCCTTCATTTATACGTTCGTTCATAGATTCGTTCATTCGTTAGTTCATACATTCGTTCCTTCGTTCCTTTATTCGCTTGAGAATCGAGAGAGACGAATGTGACCAATCGAGTGAGACTTTCTCTGTCTCTTTCCACTCTCTCTCTCTCTCTCTCTCTCTCTCTCTCTTTCTTTCTTTCTTTCTTTCGTTCTTTCTTTCGTTCTTTCGTTCCCTCTCTCTCTTTCTCACACGACTCACGTCAGAGACGCGGCCAAATATTGCATCGACGGATAAATATAGTCGGGCCATGGCTACAACGGCAGCCTCGACCGCTTAACGCGTACTTTTCTTCGTCTTCTTCTTCTTCCTAACCGTCTTTGGGACGACGACCATCTAGCTAGCCCCCGTTGGCGCATTCCTTTCTCACTCTAGAGCGACTAAGAAAGAAATCTTCTTCTATCTCCCTCTCTCTCTCTCTCTCTCTCTCTCTTTCTTTCTTTATTCACTTCTTGACTATCTCTTTTTCTCTTTCTTTCTTTGTTGCTTTCTTGCTTTTGCTCATTCGTTCATTCGTTCTTTCTCTTTGAGATCGTTAAATACGTTCGGTTGGCCGAGAACTTCGAAGAGGCAAATTCTCTTTTCTTTATTTCTTTCTTCTTCCATGTTTTTCTCTCTCTTTCTGTCTTCTTTCTCGAGTAAGCAAGCAAGCAAGCAAACGAAAAAACAACCCAGCGCGAAATCTACCCGCCGATTCTTAACGGGGCGTCGAATTACCCCACCGTAGCTAGCTAGCTAGCTAGCTGGCAAGCTCCCATGCTTTCTTTACGAATACCTCCATGAAAAAAACACTTTCTTTTTCTCTTGTATATGTTAAATATCCAATTTTGTAAATGTTTTTAAGCGTTTTTTCTTGTGTTTTTATATACGTATTCTAAAATTATTTTTAAGTTATTACAAATCTAAAGTTAAACAAACGAACGAATACAAATATAGAATAACTGAAACAAAATGTTAAATAAAAATTATGTATGAAAATTGTGTAATTGAATAAAATGTTTATTTATAATGATACTCAAAAATGAGTTATTCGCTTTTGAAACGTTAAAAAATACTGTGGAAAAAGTAGCTGGAACATTCGGCGAGGGCCGGACATTGTATTACATCACAAAATTAATATTGTTTACAATGAAAAACGTCAATTCATTATATACCTAATACAAAATTCACTTTCATCATTATTTAGATTGATTTAAATTAATATATTCGTTGATTATATTATTAAATGAAGAACAAAATGATAACATTCCGTGCATCGTGTAAGTAATTAAAATGGAAGCTAAAAAGAGTTGAATCTCAAAAGATGGCACCACTAGTACGTACATTAACATGAATGCAAACCAATCAAATTCCCATGAGGGTATTTACGTAAGATTTCATTATTTTACGTTTCAGAATCAATTTCCCAAGGTATACGTCGTAAATAAAATGTCGCGATACGAAGGGCGGTCGATTGCGAGGAGCAGTGGGAGGAGGACGTTCCACGTTCGTTGACCGAATCGTACGTACGTTTCTTTTAAACTCGCGCTACACTATACAGGTGAACGTTCTTTATTACACGCATTTATACCCTCTTCTAAATATAATAGAAATAAAGAAAAGAAAATACTTTTTTTTTGTCGCATTACTTTATTTTCCGCCACGATTATATTCATAGTTTTTAATTAATAAAACAAACAAAAAATCGAAAAGAAATTCTGATTGAGAGATCATTTTTATTTGTATATATATATATACAAAAATATCTTTATATAAATTTAATGGTATTATTTGCATGCAATTTTATGCATATGATTTTTAATAGTAAAATTTACAGTTTTTTTATATACACATCTCAACTTGTTTAATTATTTACTTCGTGATTAATGATATTTCATGAAAAAAAATTTATTATGAGGGTTGAACACTTGTCTTGAGGGGTTTCCGTATTTTTTGTTTCTTTTAATAAAATATCGTATATAAATTTAAACACAGTTTTTTAAATGGCTTTGATATTTTCGTTAATTCGGTGAAACTCGTGTTCAGATTCTGACAGATTTTCATTTATCTAAATTATTTATTTGAAAAAAAGAAAAACAAATGTTGTTTTTGTTTGAAAATATATTTTTTCAATGCAAAAACGTTTAGAAAAATTATAACTCGAATTGATACGATTCAGACGGACAAAATCTTTTGCTGAATATTAGAGAAAAATAAGAAAAGATGATGAAGAAGAAAAGGTTCTCCTCGAGATCGGACACCCCTTATCGTCGTGCACGCATTACGAGCGGCGATAACTCGTAATCGGGTCGGTACAAGGATGCATTGTACGTGCCGTTAGATTTACAACGTTCGCCTTTGACGTTTTTATCTGCGACGGCGAAAGAACGGCGTCTATCGACGATACAGTTGAAAAGAAGCAACGTGTTAGCTTTAATTTCTGTATATTATTATTACATTTTTTCAGTTTTTATATATATATTTAGGAATAAAATTATTTGTGAAATAAAATGAATATATAATTATTTGTATTTAAATAATTAATTAAAAATATTACTATTATACATATCTATGATCTTATATTTTATAATAAAAATATTAAAATGTAATAATAATAGCCGCCATAATGAGAACACCATTTGCCGCCATTTTGATGTGCATTTTTTGTGTGAAAAAACACAGGTGTGTGTACTTAGATACGCACGTAAGAAGTTATATATCTTAAAAATCAGATCTACATTAAAGAAATATGAAAGAAAAATAAAATATACTTCAATTAAATCAAATAATTTATCGAAATTATTTCTATTGCGAAAACACAGTTTCTAAACAAATATTTAAACAGGTGAACAGAATAATACGATTTTAAGGTAAATTATATTTTCTTCTTACCAATTTTTATGCATAAATATATGTCCGTAAAGATATTGAGTGAGTATCCACGATAGCTCAGTGGTTAAAGTACTCTCACCCGCGTTTTTTGAAAGCGGTAGATTGTGGGATCGATTCCTCCCGATTCAAAAAATATTTTTTAATAGAATTGACGTCATGCAAAATTGCAAAATAAAATCACATTATTATATAGGCCTATGTCGTCCATTATCGAATTTTAAACATAAATTACATGTTCATAAACATGTCTAATAAAAAGATACTGCCGATAGCTCAGAAGCAGCTAGTGCACAAAACAAAACCCGCCTTGTTGTAAGCGGTAGGGTAGTACATATAATATAAATGAGATTGAATCTCCACCCAGTCTCGAAAATATAAATGAATTTAATTTAAATGAAATTTTGGGCGGCATGACGTCACGATGACATTGTGATAGGGGTGAGGAGAGTGGAGGGTGGCCATGAAACAGTAGCCAACCCCTCTAGAGGTAAAAAAAACATATATACTTTTCTATTAATATAAAGAGCTGAAAAGTATGACTTAAAAAACAAAAAAGGGGGGGGATCATGCGTGCAACTTCCTCGCACATAATGTGATCCTGATACAAGATCGAATTTTCGACAAATTTTACAGGATATTTTAATCAGGAGAACATGACGTCACAGGAGGTATCACAATTTTTTGTATGCCACCTCTTCGGACATCATGCGATCCTGTAACAAAATTTAATTTCAATCAGAAACACTGATTTTGTCGTCGATTCAATACGACTGCTGCACATTTTTCAATTAAATTTGGTGTTTAAAAACTCAATGAAACACGTGAACAATACACCAAAGCTGCGACTATGATGCGACTAACTTCATGCCGTTAATTTTATATCGCTGTGCGCGCGCATCGTCAATACCGAGACTAACTTCATCCTGCTAATTTTGTGTCGCTGTGGGCGCGTATCGTAAAAATTCACTCTCTCATCATTTTTTTTCCCAAACGCGCCGAAAAAAAGTATAACCTCGAAAACTTTGATTGTATGTCCAATTACAAAATCAAATCAAATAAAAACATGATCATATTCTTATAAAATATTGCTATCCTAAATCTAATCATTAAAAAGTACATAAAATCTATACTGAGAACAACACAAAAATACAAAGAATCTATAGAAAAGATAATCTAAAGAAAATCTTTATTAAAAGAGTATGTCTATTACGATGGGCAAAGTACAAGTACCGACTTAGATAAGAGAGTTTAAGAATTCGGACGATAAAAAAAGTCCAAAGTGTGTTTATGATCATATAGACAGACGGGTCCAGCGATTTCATCTTTTATCATGGAAGAAGCGTCATCGTGAACAGCGCGTGGGATTTTCGCGGGAGTGTAACGCAGGTGAAAGGGTATATACGCGCGCTTTGTTTTCGCACGAGGTGCGCCCGTGCACGTGGTTAGGTGTGCGCGCGCGCGCGCGGATGAGAAAAAGAGAAAAGAGAGAGAGAGAGAGAAAGAGTCAGTGAAAATCATCATGCGCGGTCATCGAAAAGGGATGTTAGTGGGGGATGCCTTTGTTACTGGTAGCGTAGTTGGCGGGAAACGTGCGTGACTGGAGAAACTGGCGGAAGGAGGTCCTAATCTTCTCTCTCTCTGTCGTAAACATCAAACCAACAAGAAGGAGGAGAAGACGAAGAAGAAGACGAAGACGAGGAGGAGGAGGAGGAGGACAACTACGATGACAACGACCGTTATCGCGGAAGTTCGGCAATTATAGACGCGCGGAGAATCGCCTTTTCTCTTTTTCCTCCGGTTTTTTTTTCGACGAGTGATATTGATTTGGGAGAGGCAGTTCGTATTCGTGGCACGAGCATACCTTGTGACTCGTGAAAAGAGAGAAAAAGACGGCAACTGACAGGGGGGAAGTGGGGTGCCAGCGGGCAGGGGGATGGAATGGGATGGCATGGGGTGGAGTGGAATGGGTAGCTAGGTGGGAGGGAGGGATGTGGCCAGCAGCGCGATGCATCACGGCGCAACGCGCATCGAGGGGGTACACCTCGCGGTGGGCTCAACGGAGGGATGATCGCGTGGACGATGTTGAGAGAGAGAGAGAGACGGGAGAGAAGGGCAGAGTGGAGGTGGCCCGAGACCGAGGATCGCCTCCACCTTCCTCCACCCTTCTACTACTCCCCCTCCCTCCACCGGGCCCTCCTGTTCCTCCTCAACCCGACCCCGTCCCTCTGCCGCTAGTCGAACAGCGACGCGACGCACGCTATCGTACCCCCTTCCATCGGTTCGACGAACGTATCTTGCCCCCCTGGACCCTCCAACCCTCTCCGTTCCTGACTCTCTCTCTTTCTATTCTACTACCACCCCCCGTTCCCCCTTTTCTCGTCCGCCGTCGTCTCGTTCACCGCCACTATGCCACCACCACCACCATCACCACCACGACCACCACCTCCTCCTCTATCGCCACCGGCAGTCGCAGACTCGGATACCGTGTCTTAACTCAACTCGTTGATTTTATCATCGATTTTGTGCTTTAGATCCCGAGTTAGATCCATGGATCCATTGTAATAAATCAAATTCCTCCATCGTCGATCATTATGCGGAGGAACGAACTCTTAGAGTCATAATAAAGTTGGGATAACAATGAAATAGTCTTCTCGCAAGTTAAAAGAAATGTATATCAATGCCATCAACGAATTTTAATTCCGGTATGAAAAAGTAGGTGGCGCAGAGATTAGTCGGTGCGGTTATCATCGCGAGAGATGATTCGCGACAAAGTAGTCGATAGTAATTTGTTTACAAATGTATGTATAAATCGATCGAATTTAATTGCAGTGCTTGAAAGTTTTCTCGATTAATAAATAGTTCATTAGAAATTAAATTATACATACGTAAAAGCGACGCAAAAAGATTATTTCCTATGTATATATGTATATATATAATATGCGTGTAAGTACGTACGGTGAACGATTAACGCCACATATGAGTATGCACATTTAGACTGTATAAATAATTCTAACATATTATTTGTTTTCCCAGGTATTCATTCGCGCAATGTTTGTTCATCGTTCTTTCTAATGCGAATACAATGGAAAGTAACGGAAATACACACGTATATATATAAACAAAAGGGTTACGAGGCAACATTTCGACGCGCCATCTGTCTTCTTATGCAGAAAAGTAAAAATTGTGGAGATAGTGCATCGTTCGGATATATAAAGTTGGAGGGCCCTGAAGGCGAATCCGATCCTGTTGGGTTGTAAGCGACGGCGGCAATCTCCCCCTCTAACCCTCGTCCCTCGCCCCACACCACCCTTGGGACGCGCGCCTCCACCATCCGAAAGGCGAACCAGTCGAGAGAGAGAGATCCCCCCCCACTCTGCCAGACTTGAGGCAGATCGTGCGCTGTGTTGGCGCGGTGTGGCGCGGTTCGGTGCGGCGTGGCGCGGTGCGGTGCGGTGCGGTGCGCAGCGCAGCACGGCGCGGCGTGTGGTGTGGTGCACGGCGCGCCACCACGGAAGTCTGGCAACCTCGCTCGTCAGCTCGACAGTCTCTCGGTCTCTGCGAGTTACTCGGGGAAGCTCTCAGGCCGAGTCTGCTGCCGCGAGAGAGAGAGTTTCCGTACACCGTAGACACGGCGCGCGCGCGCGCGGCTACACTTTTAGTTGAGGAGTCAGCAAGAGAGAGAGAGAGAGAGAGAAAAAGAGAGAGAGAGAGGAGAAAACAAACGAAGAGCGTGAGTGGTGACGAGAACGACGGTGACGGTGACAGTGACAGTGACGGTGGTGACGGTGCGGTGACGAAACGATAACGGAGACGCAGACTTTAACAACGGTGACGACAACAACGGTGGCGGCGGCGGCGGCGGCGACTACGACACCGAAACCGAAACCAACACTGATTACGACGAAAACGACACTACGACGACGACGACGACGAGGACGACGACGACGACGACAACAACAGCAGCAGTTACAACGTAGCTAGACACGCGAGAGAGCACGGAGCATGCGAGACCGTCACGAGACTGCTGCTGCTGCTGCTCCTCCTCCTCGTCGACGTGGTAGTAGTAGTAGTAGTAGTAATAGTAGTAGTAGTCATAGCGATAGCAATAATAGTAGTGGTGGTTGTGTCGAGACTAACGATACTACTAGTGGGAAGTGGCCATAGGCCGAGTTTCGTCGCGCGCGCAAACACTCGAAAGAGGAGGAGAAGAAGAATAGGAGCGTCGAGCGATACGGGAAAGAAGATAACGAAGCCGAAACCGAAGCCGAAGTTAAAAAGAAGGAAAAGGAGAAAGAAGAAAAAGGTGAAGAGGACGGAGGGGTCGAAGACAACTACGGCTACGACGACGACGACGACGGCGGCGGCGGTGGCGACTACGGCTACGGCGACGGCGACGTCGAGGTCGGTGACGACGACGGTGACGCTAAAAAGCGGCGGCGGTGGCAGCGGCGGCGGCGGCGGCGGCACAGTGTCTTGCGGAGGAGTAGCGCGTGATCAGGAAGTGGAGGAGGAGTCGGAGGAAGGAGAAGGAGGAGGTGGCCCAGGGGGAGGCGGCGGTGGAGGAGGTGGAGGAGGACGAGGAGGCGGAGGAGAAGAGGCGGTGGAGGTGGCGGTGGCGGCGGCGGCGGAGGTGGTGGCCAAGGTGTTTTTCACGGCCGCTAACCGATTGTCCGGTAACGTGCCAAGAAGGAGGAGGAGGAGGAGGATACCGACGAAAACGACGACGACCACGACGACGACGACGACGACGACGACGACGGTGGCGACGAGGAGGACGAGGACGAGGACAAGGACGAAGACGGATAACAAGAGGACGACGACGACGACGACGACGACGACAAAGATTGATAAAAAAGCCGATAACAGTAGTGTTGCTCTTAAAAGCGTCAAAGATTTTGGCGTTTCCGCGCATCTTTTCAAGTTACGTTTCGTTTGTGTCGATCCAACCGTCGCCGTGCAGGACGAAGACGAAGACGAGGACGATTCCGATAATTGGAAGGAAAATAATAAAGGAGAGGAGGCGACGAGTAAAAGATATTATTATTTCATCGAGGACGCGCTGTGCTCCCGCGTTTCTCACCGCTACCAACGCTTTTAGCTTTCTTATTATTATTCTTCTACGGTGTTGTGTGAGCCGCGAGCGCGCGCGCGCGCTAAAAAACAGTGTAAATGGCGCTCTCAGCACAGAACCAGTCGACGTCCTACGTGAACTTGTACTACTCGATCGTCCAGCGTGCGGCGACGCGATATTTTAAGGAATACTACAATTCCGGTAAGTACCGAAAAAAACAAACAAAACAAATAGTAACACATTATCCAAATTGTTCATAATTATTCTTTCTCTTCTTCTTCTTATTCTTATTGTTCTTCTTCTTTTTATTCTTCTACTTTTTCTTTTGAATCTTCTACTTTTTCTTATTACTCTAAAAGTGTCCTTTTAAGTCGAACAAAAGGGCGGCGCGCGCGCAATGTAACCCCATGTGTCCGCTGTTTTGTTTTGCAAAAAGCTGGCGGCGCGTAACGTGCTTTCGAATTTTCCCGCCGTGTCGTTCGTCATGTCGCGTCTCCCTTTCCCCACCTACCGGCCACTTTCTTCCTACCCTGTGACTAACGCGCGACACACGCGCCGTGCGCGTTCCAAGCGAAAACAAGCTCTGCGACTAACTTGAACGAAGGAACGAAACGAAACGAACAACGAACAAACTTATAGATGATGTACGACGACGACTAACGTAATATGAACGAACGAGAACATCCGCGGCAGAAGTTTGTACTCGCTCTTGTTACGCGACGCCTCAAACGTGCCGACTTAGACACACACACACACAACACACGTGCTGCGTCTCCTCTTTTTAACGAGTTTCTTCTACAAATTCTAAACAAAATACGAGAATAAATAGAAAAAATAGAACGTACTTTTATACGTTTGTTTTCGGCAATAAGATCAGATACCGTCATCTGTGTGCCTAAAATTTCGTAATGAAATACAATCAGATAAATTATCCTATTGTTTTGTTTGTTTTTGCTTTTGTTCTCTTCTTCTTCTTCTTTGTCCTTCATAGTTTCGATTTCATGATATCGATTAATTTGTTCAACAATGAAATTAGGAAGAGTAGTCTGAACAATCTTCATTTCTTATTACCAAGAATCACGTTTCGTGGAAAAAGAATGGCCATCTTTATTTATAGTTTTGATAAGCCACTAAACATAAGGAACGGAACGGCCGACGTGGGACGACGTAACGCGTTCGACGAACAATCCAATTGGAAGCTATTTAAAGTCGAAAAAGGGGGCTTGTACGCGTGGGACAGGAGGCTTGTTTGCCGGCCAGATAACGTCCAAAGAGGAGACAAAGTACCGTGAAGTCTCGTTCGCTGTTCCCTACGATCGAGGGATACCGATTTAACGAGGGACCACGATTATTCTTTCGTATAAATGATTTAACACTAATACAAACACACAGACCTCGCCAACATAACATAAAAACAATTTAACAAACACTTTTTCTTATTATTCTTCTTTGTTCCCATACACACACCTCTTATCGAATCCTCAGAACAATACTTTTTTTTTCTTTACTTATGTTAACAATTGCTTTAAATTAAAACCACCTCTTACCCCCACCCCCACACCCCCGCCCACAACTCTTTTTACTAATTCTCTAACGTTAGAGTTTTTGATATAATTTTTATTGTTTCTGTTTTTTCTTTTTTTCATCTAAACAAATAACATTTTATTTTGTCTTCCTTATTCTTATTTGCTGTTAGAATTTGTATTATGTTCATTGAAAATACAAATTGAGGATAATTTTATTTCTAATTTTGTTGTCAACTGAGAAGAACCATCTCTCACGTGCTCGTTTGTATTCTTTGAAAAGGGTTAGCGATCGCTAGACTCATCGTTTAAGAAAGATTATATCGAATTACGTAGATTATTTTATCGTTACATTGTATACGTGTGTTATTCATATTTTTAATAACACCCACGAAAAATACACACGCGAAACTTATAACCCATCCAAGTTATGCTCGGTCTCGGACATCAGAGTTAACAAAATTGTTTGATTGTGGCTTTAGGGAAACACACACACACACAGATTTTCTAATTTTATATTAATAATATTTATCAATAAAGTCAAATGTGTTTTATAAATATTAATCTCATTCGAAACATTATTCAAAAGTTCTAACACAAATGATACAAATTTGTAATTGTATTGTTGAAAATATTTGATCCATCTACACGTGGTTTTTTTACATCACGAATTTCTTGTAAATTTGTATTAATTTCTGCAACTATGCATCCTTTATTCGTTCATCCATAACTTCGAGTGTAGTTTATTTCAGTCAGTTGCTTAAACTTTTTCTTCTTTTAGTTTACCCCACAAATAAAAATCAAGTGGGGTAAGGTCAGGTGTTTTAGACGGCCAAGTTATTGTTCAGAAAGGAAATACATTGAATCATTTCAAAATAATATATACAGAATTGTTAAAAATTATTTTTGAACAGCACATTCCAATGATTAATAAATAAATTCAATAAATAATATTTGCAATAAAATAAATATTACTATACTAGTATCAAATTTTCTGAATAACTCAATATATATACATAAATGTATTTTTATTATTATTAATAATATTAAACAAACAATGAAATAATTTACATAGAATATCAAGATAATAAAAATGACAATGTTTTAATATAAAACAATATTGTACATATGAACAAACAAAATAAATAATTTACATAGAATATCCAGATAATAAAAA